AGTAATTTTTCAAATTTCATCTAATTTTCTAATCAATAATAATGTTAAACCGGACAATAAACGAAAATTACTAAGTCCACCTTGCATTATCCAATTGTAATTCTTTATATCTCATAACGAACTTAACATTGGGACGAGAGGGTTTTGTCACATGGGATATAGAATTGTATTTGCATGCCAACCTAATATGTTGACCTTACTATATTCTTAATTAGTACAGCACTAACCTAGTAATTTCATAAGTACGAAAAAAAATAATTATTTAATGTTCAAAAATAGGAATAGCCATAAAATATAAATCCTAGGATCCTTTTGAGTAGTTGTTTATATTAATTAAGCCAAAATAAACTTGATTAAAATTTAAAATTTAATTTAATTGGTTAATTTAATCATCTTTAACAAGTAATATTTGAGTTTGACGATCAAAATTTAACATTTACAATCTCTCTCATAGTTTCATATTATAGTTTTTTTTGGCTAAATGATAAAAAATACTTTCGAATAAAAATTCAATAATCATCTAAACTGTTATCCTTTTATAACAAGCAATTAAATCTTTAAATATCTATTTTTATCAACTAAGTTTTTATTAGATGAAAATTAGTTAACCATCAACATCAAATTCCATCTAATCAAGAGTTCAATTGAGATAATAAAAATATGATCAAATTATACAACTGCACACTTGAATGGTGTTGAAAATCTTGATAGATGATCTCGAAGGCTTAAAACGCGTATAAGATACCATTAATATAGGACTCAATTATTGATTAATTAAATAAGATTTAATGAATAATAGCTGACTCAATTTTTTAACATAGACTTTGACAAAAGCAAAAGGGAATTTAGATTAATTAAAAGCTTTGAGAACTGTGATGCACATGTACCTTCCATTGTACAATGAATCCAGTGAAAGTTCAACTTTAATTCTTAAATTTTATAAAATTTCACCTAAATTAATCACTTTTTGTAGGTAATTAATTAGTGCCCATATTTCCTCTTTTCACACTACATCTGTTATTATCACTCCATTTAAGATAATCCAAATCTCTTCTTCTCAAATTCTTCATTAAGGACTTGTTAGATTAGATATATTAATATAGCTACTTGATAAAAAAATTTTAGTCCATAAATTAAAAAATTGACATCAACAAGACTTTTGCAATTCTAACCTATCTTAATTTAGTTAGTACTAATATTAGTTTGAGACGATGTGTATTTTGAGAATAAAACTGTACAAAATACAGAAAAAATATACATGAAAGAAGTAATTAATCAATTATATTTTCTTTTCAATAGTAATGATTAGATTTCTCCACAGATTAACCTAGTTGTTAGGCTCGCAAACTTATTTAGATTCAGGTTGGGTCTTAAACATGAATTTTTGAGTCCAAGCTCAGCTTGTGATATTAAATTATTAATAAAAAATTTTAATTTAATTTCAATTGAGAACATATTTAAAATATTAATATTGTAATAGTTTTAATGTTTTAATATATATTTTTGATGATTCTTGATATCTCTTGAGTTTGACGAGTTGGTTTGGCTCTCGGGTAAAGCTTTTAGAAGATTAATCGGACATAATCTAACTTGATCTGACACATAAACATCTCTAATAATGTTTTTAATCCACTTTAAAAGATTAAGTCCTACGTATATTAGCAATGGAAAAAAAAAATTCCTTGTTAGCTTTCAAAGACTAATTAATCTATAACCTTCAAGTAAATGATTGGCACAGATAGAACTTTTTTTTTTTTAACTTTAGGTAGTTACATATAGAACCCGGCTGATTTTCTTTTTTGTTGTCTTTTGTGTTTTGATTGAGCTCGTAATGTTACTTGCTATATATAATTTTGAACACTTCCAGTTTATTTTATTATTAATGTGAAATTGCAAAGGTAAGAAACGTTTGACCTTTGATGACGTTAGCCATCATGTAAGGTCCATTGCGTCAAAGCCAACCATAAAATTTCCAAAAACATTTTATTTTCAATTGTATATAGCACCGTAGCTGAATCTGCAAATGGATCTATTATAATTGATTTGATCAAAGTTATTTAAGCTTTGGTCTTGACCAGACACTCCTCCCAATTAATGTTATCCCAATCATGCATGTGCTTGTAAGAATTTTCACTCACAGCTTGTTTTATCTGTAAACTTCAGAATATTCAATTCCATTGTTACTACAACTGATCATTACAATAATAATTGAATGTTTCACAGAAAATTAATGACATTAACTGATGATTAAGCCTAACAACAAGGGGTTTTCTTGGTTTGGTCTGATATGACAGCTCTTAATGATGAACCCATAAAATGTGGATCACCGCTAACTTGATCCTTAAACTTTCACTAAAACAAAAATTAAGAAATTAATTATATATTTTTTTATACTAGTGATCTGTTGCAACCTTGGATCTGAAGACATTATATAAAGAGCTAGCCATGGCTGCTTGCTGCTACATATTCTGCTGTGAGCTGTTGAAAGCCTAATTGTCTAAAGCAATTTTCGTTTTGGTGCTAGAGAATATGAAGGTAAGCTGCAATAATATTATAGCAACTTATTTTCTTAGTACAATTGTTTCAATGAAAGTTACAATCTTAGAACATTTTTGGGTAGAAAAAGGAACGTTCTTCCTATATGCTAATGGCTGCATCATGATTTATTTCTCTGGAGAACGATTTCCCTTTTGAACTAAAATTTTAGTTTTTGTTAGACCTATTTAGTTTATGTGCTAAAACATGATGTTTTGCTTTAATTGGTGCAGCAAAAGATAATTATCAAGATATCAATGCATTGCAGTAAATGCCGAGCAAAGGCTTTAAAGATAGCTGCTGTAGCAGAAGGTATATTTAATATTAATCTTCCAAAATCTAGATGTTATTATTATTATTATTATTGAGAAATCAACTAAACGAAAACATAAATGAATTATTCTTTTTGATTATTGATGTTAATTGTAATGGAACAGGAGTGACATCGGTGGCTTTACACGGCCCAGATAAGGATAAGCTGATGATACAAGGTGAAGATATTGATGCAGCATGCTTGACAACCTCCTTGAGAAAGAAGCTTTGTCATGCAATCATAGAAACAATTGAGGAAGTGAAAGAGGCCAAAAAAGAACCACCCAAACCACCAGCTCCCATTCCATACTGCTGTCCACAACCCCAGGTTGAAATTTATAACGTGGTTTCTGATCCCTCTCCAGGTCTTTGTACCATTTTGTGAAACCAAAAAAGACTCCAATGGCGGATATCACCAATAATGAAGTGTTAGCAGTTGCAAATCCAATTATTGACCTTTTTTCCCCAAACTTCTTATCGTTTCCTCATTTGTAATTCTTCAGCATATCGCGATTGTAGTGCAAGGAACATCTAACTTTCAAGTATACTCTTAAAACCAAATGCATTGGGTATTTGCAATTTTTTCAGACCTTTGTAAAATTGTTCCTCATCTCTTCTGCATCAAGCAAAAAATTTTGAGTGTTGAATTTGCTCTATAATGCAAACTACAATTTGACTACCCCCACCCTAAAATGTTGAGGTGGACATGAAGTACACATGATTTTCTGCTCAGAGAAACCAATAATGCCTCATTGTACTAGGAATGCACTCATTGGAAGGATGCCAGAAGGAGTCAAAACTGTGGGCTGAATTAAAGAAAAAAAAAAGAAGCATGGTCTTCATGGCATAGGAGTACAAAAATAAGGATGTTAATTGCAAAACAAGTCAGCACAGCACATGGAGATTAGAGAGAGGAAGAGACAGGTTATATTGAATATATTAATTGATACCAGGAATTTATTAGAAAACAGGAGGCAAATATATAATTATATATAGAGCTATGGAAGGATAACACACGTTCATGGATGCTCCAGCTCACCATTTTGTCTCGCTGCTGTTAAAATTCCTCCGCATACTATAGAAAAGCATAGAGACAGAATCAGTGAGTCATAGGAAAGGTTGAAAAAATCTTAATCTAAGCAGTCCAATATTAACTCATAAGTCAACTAGCTAGTGAGCAAAAGAACGAATCAGTCCAATACTCAGATGATGATGATGATGATCTTTTCTCAGCTCCAAAAATGTGATTGTAGAAATTCCTGACTGCTTTTAGACTTCATTTTACTTCCATTCTTAATTAATTAATGGTTGACTTGATTCTTTTTTAATTTTGCTCTAGAGGTTGACTTAACCACTGATCTTAAATTTTTAAAGAATAGTGCTAGAAAAGAGAAAGGAAAGTGTGCTTAGCTTTTGAATTCGAAACTTTTTAACAGTTGGTATTTAATAAATTGGATTTAAATCTTCGTATCTACAATTTCTTTTTTTATTCTTAGATTGTAAGTACGTCTTTAAATTTTAATTATCTTTGTTCATATTTCTCTATTCACACAGCTAGAATTGTTCACCTTACAAAACCATATTTAATTTTTTCTTCTTCTTTATTTATTGTTGTAAGATCTTTCATATTCTATCATACCCAGTACGGTGAAATCATCTAATACTCTTGAAAATGTTTTTCTCTGATTCACAGAGAAAAAAAATGCAGTAATTTTTCAAATGTCACCTAATTTCCTAATCAATAATAATGTTAAACCGGACAATAAACGAAAATTATTAAGTCCACCTTGCATTATTGCATTATAATTCTATATATCTCATAATGAACTTAACATTGCGACGAGAGGGTTTTATCACATGGGATATATAATTTTATTTACATGCCAACCTAATATGTTAACCTTTCTATATTCTTAATTAGTGCAGCACTAACCTAGTAATTTCATATGTACGAGATTAATTATTTCATGATCGGAAATAGTAATAGCCATAAAATATAATCTTAGGTCCTTTTGAGTCATTGTTTATTTAGTTAAACCAAAATACGCTCGAAGTTTAATTTAATTAATTCATATAATCACTTTTAACAAGTGATATTTAAGTTTGAAGATAAAAGTTTAATACTTGTAATCTTTTTGTTTTATTTTTATATTATAGTTGTTTTTGGCTAAGGGTCAAAAAATACACTTGAATAAAATTTCACTAATCATTCAAGCTTTTAATGTTTTATTACATTCAATTAAACTATCAAATATTTATTTTCATCAATTGAGCCTTTATTCGATGAAAATTAATTAACCATCAACATTAATTTCCATATAGCTCAATTGATATGAAATAGATGTTTAAAGTTTAATTGAGTGAAAATAAATATTTAAGGATTCAATTGATTTTAAATAGAAAATTCAGAGATTAATTGATTGTAATAAAATATTAAAAATTTAAATAATTATTAAATTTTTATTCGAGACCTTTTTTAATCTTTTTGTTTTTTTTTTTAATACTTAAAAAAAATAACTTAATTAGAAATATGATCAAGTTATACAACTCCACACTTGAATTGTGTTGAAATTCTTGATAGATGATCTCAAAGGCTTAAAACCCATATAAGTTACTATTAATATAGGACTCAATTATTAACTAATTAAATAAGATTTAATAGTTGACTCAATTTTTAACATAGACTTTAACAAAAATAAAAGGGAATTTAGATTAATTAAAAGCTTTGAGAACCGTGATGCACATGTACCTTCCATTGTACAATGAATCCAGCGAAAGTTCAACTTTTAATCCTTAAATTTTATAAAATTTCACCTAAATTAATCACGTTTCATAGCTAATTAATTAGTGCCCATGCATATTTCTTCTTTTCACACTACATCTGTTGATCACTCCATTTAAGATAATCCAACTCTCATCTTCTTAAATTCTTCATTAAGCATTTGTTAGTTATATTAATATAGCTAGTCGATAAATTAATGAAAAAATTTAATCCATAAATTAAAAAATTGACATCAACAAGTACTTTTGCTCTTCTAACCTACCTTAATGTAATTAGTTCTAATATTAGTTCGAGACAATGTGTATTTTGAGAAGAAAACCGTACAAAAGACAAAAATATACATTAAAGAAGTAATTATTTTATTTTATTTTATTTTCAATAGTAATGATTAAAACTTTTTTTTCTCAGCCGATAATCAAATTAAAACTTTTTTTTCTCAGCCAATAATCAAGTTTATTAATAAATGGATTCCGATGCCAAATGTCATCTCCCTCTAAGAAAGAGAGACTCATGGCACTTGTTATAAAGAACAACAACCGCCTAACGATAGACAAAATGTGAATCCCATAAAAGCTCCATTACAACAAAGCTTGAAACATAAATGAACCATCAACAAAGCAATTAGGTCGAGGATCAACCATTCTCGAGCTCCCTCAGTGCATAAAATCTACAACAAACTCCATGATTTCATCTTTCATCCACCCCCAAGACTTTCTGAGCAAAGTAAAATTAAAATAATTTGGACCATGTGTTTTTGTCCCTTCACAGTAGACTTTGAAAACCCAGATTCTCAAGCGCTGGTCGCCTCTAATTTTCGTAGTCAAACTGTTTTCGAAAGTAACCAATCACTGCAACTTTCACCGTTCTTGGTTCTTGTATTTTTCTCCCATTCTTTGAGCCATTTCACCATTGATTTCAGTCTTTTCCAGCGCACTCTACTCTTGGTTGAGCTCTCTAGCGGCTCCAGTTTTGTCAAACACCTCGGCACTTTCTTACAAGTTTGTTATCCTCTCATCCTCCACTCCAAAAGCATCCCTGTTCCACCTTTTGAGAATAAACATTCTGCTGAAACTAAGAAGCAATCAACCCTACAGCTCTTTGTACTTGATCCGTACCATATGAACTTTTTATCATTAATAGGTAAATCCAAGAAACTCCGCAAACCAACTCCTTCAGTTGAAACTATCATAGGTAAAAACATTATTTGTCCAAACCAACTGATGAACATTCTCTGCGTTGAGATCCCCAGCCACACCCCAATTTCCACCCACTTTGTTGAAGAAATCCTATCCCACATGGCAAGCAGACCACCCAATCTCCCTTCGGCTTGGCAGCACACCCAATCATAATTTTTAGAAGGCCAGATACTATCAACAAGCCTAACATCACAAGACGCCAATTTTGTTCCTTGATGAAGCAATATTTCGACATTTTGGGATTTGGTTAGTATTCCCAGAAATGCCTCGACACATTCCAGGACATAATCCTCTTTTCGCTGCCCACCATCCACAAAAAGCACACAATTTACACCAGTCACCACAATAGTAAAAAGATCCTGTCAACCTCAAGTCCACAGTCACCACAAGACTAGTTCTGTCTGCAAACCTATTTAGATTGGGTCGGGCTTTAGATAGAGATTTTTGAGTCCGAACTCACCTTAACATATTAAATTATTATAAAAAAATTTTTAATCTGATTCCATTTAAGAATATATTTAAAATACTAAATATTGATATCTTAATAGTTTTTAATATTTTAAATTTTTTTAATAATTTTGAGCCTTTCTTTTGAATAAATTTTTTGAAAGGTTAACTAAACACGATCCACCGCTATTGATTTATAAACAGCTCTAATAATAATTTTAATAAGCTCTAAAATAATAAGTCCCACCTAAATTAGGAAAGGAAAAAAACAAAATTCCAAGATAGCTTTCAAAGACTAATCAATATATAACCTTCAAATAAATGATTAGAGTAGATAGAACTTTTTTTTTTTTTTTTGCTTTACGTTGTCACATATAGAACCTGGCCGATTTTCTTTTTAGTTGTCTTTTTGTGTTTTGATTGAGCTTATAATGTTAATTGCTATATACAAATTTGAACACTTCCAGTTTATTTTATTATTAATGTGAAATTGCAAAGATAAGAAAAGTTTGATCTTTGATGAGGTTAGCCATCATGTAGGTCCATTGCGTCAAAGCCAACCATTGCAAATGGATCTATTATAATTGATTTGATCAAAGTTATTTAAGCTTTGGTGACACTCCCTCCAATTAACGTTATTCCAATCGTGCATGTGCTTGCAAGAATTTTCACTCATAGTTTGTTTTATCTGTAAACTTTAGAATATTCAATTCCATTGTTACTACAACTGATCATTACAATAATAATTGACTGTTTCACAGATAATTAATGACATTAACTAATGATTAAGCTAAACAACAAAGGGTTTTCTTGGCTTGGTCAGATAGGACAGCTCTTCCCTATGAACCCGTAAAAAGTGGATCACCGCTAACTTGATCCTTAAACTTTCATTAAAGCAAAAATTAAGACATTAATTATATATGTTTTTTATATTACTGATCAGTGGCAAACTTGGATCTGAAGACATTATATAAAGAGCTAGCCACGGCTGCTTGCTGCTACATATTCTGCAGTGAGCTACTGAAAGCCTAATTGTCTAAAGCGATATTCATTTTGGTGCAAGAGAATATGAAGGTAAGCTGCAATAATATAGCAACTTATTTTCTTAGTACACTTGTTTCATTGAAAATTACAATCTTAGAACATTTTGGGTAGAAAAAAGTATGTTCTTCCTATATGCTAATGTTCTTCAGAAATAAAACTTTACCCTTTTGAACTAAAATTTTAGCTAGACCAATTAGTTTATGTGCTAAAACTTGATGTTTTGATTTAATTGATGCAGCAAAAGATAATTATCAAGATATCAATGCATTGCAGTAAATGCCGAGCAAGGGCTTTAAAGATAGCTGCTGTAGCAGAAGGTATATTTAATAGTAATCTTCCAAAATCTAGATATTATTATTGAGAAATCAACCAACTGAAAACATAAATCAATTATTCTAGTTGATTGCTGATGTTAATTGTAATGGAACAGGAGTGACATCGGTGGCTTTACATGGCCCGGAAAAGGACAAGCTGATGATACAAGGTGAAGATATTGATGCAGCATGCTTGACAGCCAACTTGAGAAAGAAGCTTTGTCATGCAAGCTTAGAAACAATTGAAGAAGTGAAAGCGGACAAAAAAGAACCACCCAAACCTCCAACTCCAATTCCATGCTGCTGTCCACAACCCCTATCTTGAATTTTATAAAGTGGTTTCTGATCCCTCCCCAGGTCTTTGTCCTATTTTGTGAAACCAAAAAAAACTTCAATGGCGGATATCACCAATAATGAAGTGCTAGCAGTTGCAACTCCAATTATTGACCTTTTTTCCCCCCCAACTTCTTTTTGTTTCCTCATTTTTAATTCTTCAGCACATCGCGATTGTAATAATCTTGTTCATTAGTCCTGTAGATTAATTAGCTTGTGCTATGTATTACTTTAAGTTTAAAATCTTTGTGGTTCTTTTAAGATTAATCTTTCTTCAATGAGTGTAATATATATCTTTTCTTTCCTTTCCTCTTGTCTTTTACTCTCTGTTTGGTGCTGCCATTGAAGGCAAAGAAAGCTTAGCCCCTTTTACTGGTACAAAGGAAATCGCAATTTGAAAATAAGAGGAGTTACACATGATGAGATTTAAACCCTTTGAGCAAAAGGCTACACAATGTTTTTTTTTTTACTTGCTTAGTTGGATGAGAGGATTCAAACTTGGAACCTTGTTTTAGTGGTAAGAGTCAAGAATTGATTTGAATTTATTTTATAATTAAGCAGGGGCATCAATTTTTCCATTAGAGTAACAGACTAAAAATCAGAAACCTAAATGCAAGAGTTATTCATTCTGCATACTTTTAGTACAAGGAACATCTATTTCAAATATACTCTTAAACCAAAGGCATTGGGTATATGCAATTTTTTCAGACCTTTGTAAGATTGTGCCTCATCTCCCCTGCATCAAGCAAAAAATTTTGAGTGTTGAATTTGCTGTATGATGCAAGCTACAATTTCACCACCCCCAGGCTAAAATGTTGAGGTGGACATGAAGCTACACATGATTTTCTGATCAGAGAAACCAATAATGCCTCATCTACTAGGAATGTACTCATTGGAAGGATGCCAGAAGGAGTCAAAACTGTAGACTGAATTATTAAAAAAAAAAAAAAAGGCATATGGCCTTTATGGCTTAGGAGTACGGTAATAAAGATGTTAATTGCAAAATAAGTCAGCACAGCACATGGAGATTAGAGAGAGGAAGAGACAGGTTACATTGCATATATTAAATGATTCCAGGAATTTATTTAGAAAACAGGAGGTAAATATATAATTATAGTGCTGTGGAAGATAACACACATGCATGGATGCTTCAGCTCACCATTTTTGTCTAGTTGCTGTTAAGATTCGTCTGTAAACTATAGAAAAGCATAGAGACAAAGAATCTGTGATCCATAGGAAAGCTTGAAGGAAGCTTAACCTAACCAGTCCAATATTAACTCATTAAGTCAACTAGCTAGGGAGCAAAAGAACAAATTTGTAAAATATAAAGATTATTTTTTGAATAGAATTATGAGAAGAAGAGACACTTTGTAAAACTAGACACAGAATTTACAGGAAAACTTTTTTGAAGAATGAATTCACCATCTTTAGACTTTCGATTGTGAAATTTTGACATCTATGCTCTTTTTGACTTGGGATAGAAAAAAAAATGGAATCTAAATGCATTTTTCTCATACACAAACTACTTTGCTCATAACTTTACTTGCAAATAATCATCCACTTTTTGAATTTTTTGTTAGGAATGGTGACTCAAATCCCATAAAAAATTTGTTTGGAATTTGTTAGATATTACTTGATGGACAAAAAGACTTGTAAAAGAACAATTCTAAAAGGAAAAGTATTCTTAATAGGCAAGTTTGTATGGTTAGAAATAGGTGAAGTCTATATAGCATTAGGTATGAGAAAAAGAAGTAAAAGAGTTGTAAGGTTTTGTGGGATAGACACCTTATAGGAGTAATGAGGATTTACATCTTATGGGTGTGTATGTTTGAATGTTTAGGAGTCGACTAGAATAGAAGAGATTGAGAGGGTTTACATAGGTATGATGAATGGGTACATATGGGTATGTGTTTGTTTGTGTTTAAATGGTGCACATGGGTTTATATTTGTTTAAGTTGAGAATACTCCATAGGACTAGAAGAGATTAAGAGAGCCTATAGGTATTTATTGTTGAGTGAGATTGATTTGATGTATATTTGTAATTCTCTATAACTAATAGATCTTGTTTCTTATTCGTGAATATAAGTCAATTAGATTGAATCATGTTAAATTATTGTCTCTTGTGTGATTGTTTGATCGTTTGATTTTGCTTTCCCTGACTTGATTGGATTGAGGCTTTTTAGCCCAACAAGTGATATCAGGTTGTGATGATCTCTAACAAGTGGTATTAGAGCTAAAGGTTTGAGATGTGAGGAGAGCTGAAGGTTCGAGCATGGGAAAAGGTAAGTCCAGAGGAGCTTGATTCAAGAGAAGAGTTTGAGTTCAAGTTTTGAGGATTGAAGATAAGTTTGCATAAAGCGTGAAGATACACAAAAAAAGATGATTATGAAACTTCCATTATAGGTGGAGCCAAGTATGTTTAACATAAAGATAGATGATTTGATGAAATTTGAGTCAGTGTGGAGATTGTTAGGAATAGTAACTCGAATCCCATAAGAGATTTATTTGAGATTTGTTAGATATTATTTGATGGACAAGAAGACTTGTAAAAGAAGAATTCTAAAAGAAAATGATTCTTAATAGGCAAGTTTGACTTGCAAAAGAAGAATTCTAAAAGGAAAGAGATTCTTATTAGGCAAGTTTGTATGGTTATAAACAGGTAAAAGTCTCTATAGGATTATATATGAGAAAAAGATGTAAGAGAGTTATAGAGTTTTGTGAGATAAACACCCCATAGCAGTACTGAAGATTTACGTCTTATGGGTGTGTATGTTTAAATGTTTGAGAGTGGACTAAAGGAGATTGAAATAGTCTACATAGGTAAGATGAATGGGTACATATGAGTATGTGTTTGTTTGTGTTTAAATGGTGTACATGAATTTATGTTTATTTGGGTTGAGAATACTCTGTAGGACTAAAGGAGATTGAGAGGGCCTATGGATATTGATTGTTGAGTGAGATTGATTTGATGTATATTTGTAATTCTCTATAACTAATGGATCTTATTTCTTATCCGTACATATAAGTTGGTTAGACCGAACCACATTAAATTATTATTTTTTGTGTGATTGTGTAATTGTTTGATCGTTTGATCATTTGATTTTGCTTTCGTTGACTTGATTGGATTAAGGCTTTTTAGCCCAACAAAGTGGTATTAGAGCTATGGTGATCCCCAACAAGTAGTATCAAAGTTGAAGGTTCAAGATGTGAGAAGTGCTGAAAGTTCGAGACATTGAAGAGGTAAGTTTAAAGGAGCTCGATTCAAGAGAAGAGTTTGAGTTCAAGTTTTGAGGATTGAAGATCAATTTGCATAAAGTATAAAGACACACAAGAGAAATGATCATGAAACTTTCATTGTAGGTGGAGCTAAGTATGTCTAGTATAAAGATAGATGATTTGATGGAATTTAAGTAAAAGTGGAGATTGTTAAGAATAGTAACTTAAATCCTATAAGAGATTTATTTGGAATTTGTTAAATATTACTTGATGGACAAGAAGACTTACAAAAGAAGAATTCTAAAAGGAAAAAGATTTTTAATAGGCAAGTTTGTATAATTATAAATAGGTGAAGTTTCTATAGGGTTAGGTATAAGAAAAAGATGTAAGAGAGTTATAGGGTTTTATGAGATAAACATCTTATAAGAGTACTGAAGATTTATGTCTTATGGGTGTGTATGTTTGAATGTTTGGTACTAAACTAGAAGAGATTGAAAGGTTCCACATAGGTATGATGAATGAGTACATATGGGTATGTGTTTGTTGTGTTTAAATGGTGCACATGGGTTTATATTTGTTTGGGTTGAGAATACTCCATAACACTGAAGAGATTGAGAGAACTTATGGGTATTGATTGTTGAGCAAGATTGATTTGATATATGTTTGTAATTCTCTACAACTAGTGGATTTTGTTTTTCATCCGTAGATGTGTGTTGATTAGACCAACTACGTTAAATTATTGTCTCTTATGTGATTGTTTGATCGTTTGATCATTTGATTTTGCTTTCGTTAACTTGATTGGATTGAAGCTTTTTAGCCTAACATTTTTGACTAAATTCTGATTTAGAAACATTAAAATATGGAACATGAACAGAAAAAGAACTTTGGGGCAATTAAGAATTAATAAAAAACATAAAGCAAGTCATCATAATTAGATCATGTTCTTTTGCGTGATTCTTGGTTTGTGAATATTAGAATTCTTTAGACTAGAGCTGATCACTTTACGATGGATTTTCAATGGTATTGCCAGTCACCAGCAAAGTTTTCAAACTACCATTCACACTCAGCAAAAGTTCTTGACTGTCCACTTTGATTTCTGAGATATCCATGTTCTAAAATATGTTGAGTAAGATTCAATCAGAGGCATTATTGCTGATATAGCCTTGACTCTCCAGTTTCATTTCTGATATATATATATATATAAATAAATATGGTCTTTGTTGTGATTTAAAATATAAAATTATAGTAAAAAATTATAAATAAAATACTCCTCTTTTTTTTCATACGATATTCGTTTTTTCACGTATATAACCCGTTTTTTCCTTTATAACGTTTAAGTTTCCAGCACACTCTATGTAAGCATATGCTCAAAATCTGTTTCTCCACTCCAAATCATCATCTCAAATCCAAAAAAAAAAAAAAAATTTTTTTCTAAATTGTTTTTAATTTAAATCCATGTTATCTTCTTAGAGGTTTAGCATAGAAAATTAATATATAGATAATCACTTTGTTTCACTTGGTGTAGAATACATATATTTTATGCATGTTTTCATTTGGGTTCAGATTCATGCACACTCAATCTTATCATTTCAAAGTTTATATTTGTTTTAATGTCTTTGATTATGTAATTTGAAAGCCTGATATTTAAGTCCAAGATTACTTGGTTAGAGTCCTAGAATAGTCGTGGAGCACAAGGCGTTGTTTACATCAATGTCGAAAAACCTTCTTGTACAAATGTCGAATAAAAGGACTAAAATACACTCAGTTTTGTTCATGTTCATGTTTGTATTACTGCTTAATTTTAACTTGTCTCAGGGTGATGAGCTTGAGTTACTCTTGTCCTTCAAGTCTTTAATCAATGATCCGACCGGTTTCCTCTCCAGTTGGAATTCCTCAACTTCTTTCTGCCAGTGGCATGGCATCACTTGCAACAATTTTTCTGGCGTCAAGGCAATTGAGCTCGCTGATAAAAACATTACTGGGACAATTTCCTCCTCAATCTTTTATTTGCCAGAGATTAAGAC